AAAACAGCTTGGCTAAAACAAGGCTAACTTTTAGTGAAAATCTTATAGACATGGAATGGTATCCCAAAATTAGACTATTCATGAAATAGACAGATTAGAGTTTATATGTGTAGTCATTCATTTCTGTTTATTTGTTGACTAGTCTAGTTTTGGACTATTCTTAGACGTCTATCATATTTTCACGGACAGTCCAAATTTAGCCTTGTTTTAGCCAAGACGACTATATTTAGACATCTGTTAGACATCTTTTAAAAACATAAAAGACTGGCTGGGTGGTCAGACTTTAAATATGAATTATTAAATATTACCAAAAAATTTACTTGCACAAATCAATTGTTCACCTAAAAAATAACAATGTGCGCTAACAAAATAAACATTGTTATTTTCACACAGAGTTTTCAAATTTGTAACCACGATAACTAAAAAGATAACCGTCTAGACAAATTATTACAACTTACGGTAAAGTGTTGAATGTATTATACTGTATTATATCAGTACAGACCTGAATATAACAGAGGTAGTGTAGAATTATTATGGACGTATCTGGACAGAATTAAAATAAGAATACTAATTCAAACAAACAAACAAACAAAAATGCCAAAATTGAACTTGGGGAAAATGCTGAGAGAGCCCTGGTAAATGCAAGAACAGTCTCCCCAGAAGAGTTCAAGATGAAGGTCACTCAGAAGCAGAAGCCACTTTGTTCTGAAAATTGTGCATTTTAAAGTTTGTGTACACATTTCATGTACTCTCTGCATTTAAATGAAGACACTAACAAATAAAAATGGATGTTAAAACTTTGGTAAATCCAGCAGAGTACTTTTGCACAGTACTATTTAAACAAATATAAATAGATGTAATTGTTCTTACATAAATAAGAGAACATGTTCACATTTTGACTTATCTGCTAATGAGATATTAACAACAGAAAGTTGTCAGCATGTCACATGCTGTGAAATTTTGTGAATATTTATGAGTCACTATGATGAAGAGACAGATAAGAGCTTCGAGTGACTGCACTTCCACTTCCTATATGCAAGTATATCAGGCAAACAGTCCTCTTGCCTGACAATATGTCTCTTTCTAAAACACAAGTCCCATTACGGTGTGTTTATCGGTGACACCAATAGTTACCAAAAAAGAAACGACAGCGATTTCGCTGGATTTACAGTATCTGAATTGGATATATTTTGCGGCGAGACTTGTCTTTCTTGACTTAAAGTTTGTATTGTGGCACAACCCAAGTCTATTTTCAGTCTACCAAAACGCCGTTGCTGCAGACACCCAGGAGAGACCCTCATTAAATTTGCACCAAATGTATGATTCAGTCACACCCACAAAAACCCCGCACGTCCCACTAATCCTATTCCACGGCTCCATCTTGTTTATCTTTTGTAGGGCCTGAAATGACTACATTTAAACTATTCTGGCGAACGTCTGAACGCACCATGCTATTGAGATGACGATGAGGTTTATCTCAAACTGTTACCTTGAGAGTGTGTGCACACCACTGTCATCATCATTCGAAGCTCTTGTGGTTCATTCCCCAGCGCACAGGAATAAAAACGCAGAAGTGTAGCACTGCTATGATATTTGCATCGACAGCTGAACATGCAAACTTTCAGATTTGAATGCAAACTGCAGTGCGTGGTTGAGTGTTGAAGGGCAGGCCGCATCTGAGAGAGTCAAGCGTCCTGTCGACTCAAGTGTGAAAGAAGATTACACTAAACAGATCATAGTCTTATCTGTGAGGTATATTATTCAATTACTATTGCGTACACATGTCCGGATTACTATTATTTCTGCTTGACGAGGGGGTGAGCTGGCATGCTGCTCTGCCCTGTACAAATGTTTAGTCAATTTAAAGAATCTAAATTATATTTTAGTGAGATTATTATTATTATTATTATTATTATTGATATCCTTCAAGGAATATTTATGAAATACATCTGCCCTGTAAATAAATTATATGACAAAAAGGCATGATAGCAAATGTTTTTAAGGTTACTTTAACATATTTTAATAAGTAAGGGGTGGGGGGTGGTCTATATACCCAAAGTGCAAATAGCCCATCACTGTTTGATTGACAGAGACAACATAACTAAAGAGCGCATTTCACAGCAGCGTGAGCGCATAGCTCGTAAAGCGCATGGCAACATGTTTTGACGCAATGGATCATCAATCGGCTCGAATCCAGCGTCTTACGAACTCATTCTTCTTTTTTTCCCCTATTACATATCAGATTGAAAATACATTGATTTTTAATAGAAAGGAAATATTTGGTTTAAAAATAAAATAATGAGAATTTGATATAAAGTCACAAGTGGCTCATGGGTATTTAATAAGGTTTAGCCTATTTCATGTGTATAAACAGCATCTAAATAGTGATTTTGAAATATTCTATAAAGTTATTTTCTACCTGGTGTTATATGTTAGCGACATCATAATATAACTAATTTGTATTTACAACGAACACCCTTTAAAATATATATTTTTAGTACTGCTTCAGTGAACTTAAACAAGTAAAAACATAAATTTTTACTAATTTTGATATAATTTTTTTATCAAAGTGTGCTTCAAATGCTTAAAAATTAGTAACATCTATGTAGACTATATGTACTATATATAATTTATATAAAAAAATGCGGGCAATACATTGCAGATTCATTTTATTAAAAAATATTATATTATTCTTATTTTATTTTATTCAACTATACAGGTGCGGCCGGGTAGGGGGACCAACAAGACAATGTGCCCAGGGGCCTCTGAATTCTTAATCTAGGCCTGCCTCACTGACAAAGGTGCAGAATTTGTCCCATTCATGAGATCATTTGTCCTATTTTGACTCCTATGCCATAATAAATTGTGAAAATAACCCATCGAAGAACGCTTTAAGACCAAGCAAAATCCCATCTTGGATGTTGCTTCGGTGTCACTGGGGAAAGTTAAATGTGCTGGACAGCTTGTTATTTGTCTAATAAATGACAATAGTTTTAATTTAAAACTTTAACAAATTCCTGTTTTTTTTGTTTTCTAATTATATGTGATGTACTAAATTTGTATCTAAAGTATTGTATTCATATTTCTTTAATCCAAATGTTTAGGAAATGTTTTTATACATTAAACTTGTGGTTATGCTAACCATCTGACAAGTTAATCCAGCAAAAAAATAGTGCTTAAAATGTCACTAAAATGCGGTATTTAAATCTCATAAATAAATAGAAAATGAGGCGAATAACTGCAAATAGGTCCACCCCTAGGCTATCTACAGGCCTGAATCATGTTCACACTACACTTTAATCACTTTGATTGATATACGTTGAGATGAGAAAAAGTTAATTTGATTTTTTTACAGTGTGAGCTCTGTAATGCTTTTGTGTCATTTTACCCAGCACAAAGCCTTAAATAAATGAGAATAAACAAATCAGTTTCTGTAAAAACCACAAGTTTTTTGCAGCAAAAGCTGCATATTTTGCTTATATTGCTGGTGATGACATTGTTTGGCGCGTTGGGGCATATTATCAAGTTGTCATGCCTCAAACTGTGAACAGTCTAAAAAAGGCTGGGTTGTTTTTACCCAATGTTGGGTAAAATATGGACAAACAAAACTGTTGGGTTAAAATTTAAATATTTCATCCAGTGTTTTTGGAGTGAGGCTATAAAAGTTGCAAGCAAAGATTATTGTAGGATATTTGTAATGCTATTTGTGTACTCAAACACTGTTTTATTACATTTTTCCTATAGAAGTTGTTATTTTAGTTGACCATTGTACCACAATATGATGTGAGTCCTTGTGATGTTCTGTGTTCATTTGCTTTACCAACAGTGATATAAGATTAGGACTTACCATTGCAACAAATAGTATTAAAACAGTAATTCATTAAATATAAATAAATAATCACTACAATTATATAAAAATGGACTTTATCATGAAGATTAAAATTTACATACACAAATGCACACATACACATAAACATACACACACATACATACATTTTCAAAGTTGTTAGCCTTTCTGTGAAACTTTTATTCTTTTTAAAGTATTTCGCAAGTCTTGTTTAACGAAAATAATATTTTTCGATGTTTTAAAACATATTAGTTTTAATAACTCAATTTTAATAACTAATTTGTTTAGTCTTTGCCATGATGACACTACATAATATTTTTTCTACTTATTTTGCAAGACACTAGTATTAATCTTAAAGTGCAATTTAGATATCTATCTAGGTTATTATGTTAAAATAGGCAAGTTAGGATAATTAGCTAAGGTATTGGATAGCAGTGGTTTGTTCGGCAGGTAATCAGAAAAAAATATATATAATGAACAATTATTAAAACTGCTTTTAATCCAGCCTTTATATATAAATTAAATAAGAACTAAAAATTAAATAAGACAGAAAAGAATATATTATAGGAGACACTGAGATAATGTCCTTGGTCTGTTAAACATCACTTATAGGAAACATTTAAAAAAGGATAAAAATTTCAGAGGCGGGCTAATAATTTTGATTTTAACTTTCTCTCTATCTCTTTCTCTGTGTGTGCATGTGTGGACGAAGTAAAAAATCTAATAATTTCCAAATGTAGCTCTTGTGTCAACATTTCCCTCAAATATATTACCATCATTTTAATTAAAAATATATATCACTGTAACATTTCTGTCAGTGTTCATTTACATTCTTCCTTCTATAACTTTTACAGTAAGTCAGCCCACAGAATGTCATTCGGATCACAGCTAGCTCAATAAATCACCAAAAAAAAAAAAAAAAGACGTGGAATTATTTGTATCAAAAAATAACTCATATCTCCCAAACCTATAGGCTGCACAAAAATAAAGAGTATAATGTCCAAACCCCAACAACTCATCACACACAGCATATAATGAATAATCCCAGATATTACACTGTTTGCACAATAAGAGAAACGCGGTTGTAAGGAAGAGCTCTTGCATGATTGCTGGCTCACACTGCCATACATGGGCAAATTTCTGGGACTCTGGCTGTGTGTGTGTAAGTGTGTGTGTGTTTGCCGGCTGGAATTTCGCCCTCTGACGTCACTGCCTGTTACTCTCCCAGATTTGGGAAAAAGAAGTTTCACTTTAAGTGGGGATTTGAAACTCTGTGATTCCTAGAAAGCGAGGTAAGAGATCTATTAACGCTTTCGAGGAGGCGCCTCCACGCGCCCGAGACGCCGATCTCAGGCCTGGGACACTGCGGTGCTGCTTGTGCTGATATAAGAACTATATTTGACAACTATATGTTCTTGTGTGAGAGACTCGAGCTGTGCCATTGAAATGGAGGGCGTGGGGTTGCGAGCAAGGAGGGGGGCGAACTTTGTTTCGTGTTTTTACCTCTCAGCCGAAACATTTGAGGGAACGTATAGTACATTCGAGGGTGTCGGCGTAGATTTGATACGATGTGTTGACGCATGTCGCATGCAAACTTGTGAAAATGATTGTGTTGTGATTCTGAAACATTGTTGCTGTGTTGTGTTTCTCGTGAAGAATGCGGAAGTAAATATGCTGGAGGCTTCGCTATAACAGTGTGCTAGAGACGTGGCTTCTGCTTGTATGAGCGACAGATAGATTAGTGCTGGACATGTGCTTTGTTTGTGCTGTTGAGCTTTCGTGTCAGTGTGATGCTGCATTTGAGTTTGGTTACTCTGTATGTGTGCTTGTTTACTGGTTATTAGAGGGAATGCTTGAAAGTTACTTTAACTTGTACAATGTTGCTATTTAAGTTGTTGCGTCGAGAGGAAGAAATATATATCTCTGGGAAGTGAACATCGTGACTTGCATTTTGCAGAAAGCCTACATTTATACCCCCCCACATTTTTTGGCTGTATGTTACAGAAGACACCAACTATGCCATTCAGTGTATATAACGTACCAAACAAATATTATGATAGCTTATTGAAATACTCAAGGAGCACAGTGCAGACAAAAAGTATAAATACATTTTCAATTTGAATCTTTGCTGTTTTTCTATACACAACAATAGATATTATTGCTTATTGTATTACATAAGATCAGTGGTATAATGTGTTACTTAAAAACACATTATAAATATTCAAACTACTGTAATTGAGTAGTTTTTCTAAGAAATAGTAATTTACTAAGTGGTTTTAAAAATGTGTACTTTTACTTTACCTTTTTAGTGTAGTATCGGTACTTTCACTCCACTACTTTCCTTCAACCTGCAGTTACTACTTTGTTTTCTTGTCCTGTTATTCCTGTCCAATCAAATCGCACATAGAAGGTAAATCATAATCATAATGAACTACATCAAGACATGGGCAATTTATAATTGCAGCAAACTGTTTGAAAGCTTTAAAAGTGTCCAAGAAAATGTCTGAAATCTTCACATATATTGACCCGACTGTGTATATGCACTGATGAGAAAATGAACGATGTTTACTGTATGATGACTGAAATGGCCTTAAACACCAAGCAGGCACAAGACGTCAACATGACAACCAAATCAACCAAATATCAACATCTAATGATGTTACAGTTTTATGTTGTGTGGATGTCACCTCTATGACGTCTGTCAGATGTTGGATTTTGGTTGCCACACCTGATTAAAAAATGTCGGCATTTAACATCAACATGTTGGTTTAAGATGTTGGCTCGACGTTGGATTTTGGTCATCTGACATTACGACCTAAATCTAATATTAACATTTTATGATGTTGTGTGCCTGCTGGGCAATAACTAAATATACTACAGAATGTTAAGTTTACATGCATCCACAAATTACATGTATACACAAAACCTTTTTACAGCGTAATACTACTCTTAAGTACCTTTGAAAGGACTACTTTTTACTCATACTTTGAGTAATATTTACAATAGATACATTTACTGTACACTCTCAGAAATAAAGGTATGTGAGCTGTCATTGGGGTGGTACCTTTTCAAATGATACAAATTTGTACCTAAAAGGTCCATATTAATACATCCAAGGTGCATATTAGTACCTAAAAAGTACAAAAGTGTTCCTATTAAAATCTTTAGGTACCAATATGGACCCTTCAAATACAAATGTATACCTATTAAAAAGGTACCACCCCAGTGACAGCTCATGTACCTTTATTTCGGAGAGTGTACTTGCACTGCATTTTTAGGCAAGTAATGGTACTTTTACTTACAGTAAGTATGTTTTTTTAGTACTCTTTCCACCATTGTTCAGAATATGTACTTTAAGGAAGTATATCTCTTGGGTTAAGTTATGATTAGATGTTATCTCTCATTTATGTACTTTTAATTACTTATTAAAAGGAATTCGAATACTACAGTACAGCTAAAAATACTAGTAAACCATCAATTTGAATCAATGTACTTTGCTGTAATCTTTCACACCACTAGGTTTCATCTATTTGCCAGCATTAAAGATAAATATAGGGCTGCATGATATTATAAAAATCTAATATTGTTGATCTAATGTTTTTTTTTAATTATTTTGTAATATATATTGCGATATGAATACAATTTCACCAAAGTACTTAAATATCTCTATTTTGAAATAATTTATTATTTTATAATGGAACGATTCTGTAAGACAGTGCATCTGCGGAAAATGTAATCAACAATCTACAATTTTAGATAATTTCAATAAAGAAAAATGTACAAATAAAATAAAGTGTTTCATTGTTTTCTATGGAGTCTTAACACTCAGGTTTACAGTAAATGAATAATCAAATATAAAATAATAATGCATAGTCTTCGTTGTATAAGCAGTTCGATAAAGTCAACTGACATTTAAAGTTACAAATGGTACAATTTCTTAGGCCTGAATGCTTTTAAAATCCTTACACAGTCACAGGCCTCAACTTTTGCAAAATGATCTATTATAATACAGACTCAACATTGCAGATCCTGCGATGTGACTATTGCGAATACTCACATGTTGCTAATATATTGTGCACCCCTGGTTTTATATATATATATATATATATATATATATATATATATATATATATATATATATATATATATATATATATATATATATATATACTGAATACTGAATATGTATGTCATTTCATTATTAAAAAATGCATTTCTTATTTATCGCTCTGTTATTTCACTCATATTTTGACTTTTTCAGACAAACACAATTAAATACACACTTTACTTAATTTAATATGAAAATTTCATTTGATCCAAAGACCAAAGTGTCTTTGTTTGAACTGTATATTAAATAATGTCTTGAGAGTGTTGACAAAGGAGGGGCAGTGCTGTGGCTGCTCATTTGAGCGACAGATATTAAAGATTAGTGCTGGACATATGCTTTGTTTGTGCTGTTGAGTTTGCATGTAAATGTGCTGCTTTAAAACCTTTACCTTAAGCTTAGTAACTTGGTGTGTGTGTACTTGTTAACTGGTTAATAGAGGGAATGCTTGAAAGTCTCTTTAACTTGTGCAGTTTTGTGACTAGGCATGGGATAATAATCATTTCAAGGTATACCTTGGTTTGGAATGGTTTTAAAACCACCAAAATCTTCTCCTATACCATTCTTAAGGCATGTGTAAGATTTTTTTAATGTTTTTTTTTTGGACAATAGTATCTCCAGCAGAAAAGATATCCAAGATGCTGTTTTAAATTGTAAAGAAATCTGTTTTTGAAACAAATGAAAACAGCAGAAGTCAATGATTTATTTGGATTATCTTGGCTGGGATGTTTACTGTTTCAAAATGTTATAAAGTTTTTCAAAATAAAATATATTGTGTTCAAAGGGGAAAAGTTTTAGTTTTTTTACCCAGACATTTAAAAAGAATTTATTTTAGAACAGTAATCATAATATCGTGAAACCGTGATATTTTCATCCAAGGTTATCATACCATCAGATGATACAAATAATGGCCTATGCCTAATTGTGACTTAGGGTACTTTTTCTTTAAAGGGCTAACAACTATTGTTAAATATAGATAAAGCTAAATACTGGAATATTTAAAATGATAAAGTTTTTTGGTTAGTATCGATACTGGGTTTGCTCTCTCGCACTCTCTCTATTTATCTCAGCAGCAGGAAGTTAAACAATTATTATTGATATTAAGATTTTAACACTTTTGTTTTAATCAGAAAATAAGATGAGGTTGCATTAATTTAGTTTTTTGTTTGTAATTTGCCTTTGGGGCTTAAAGGACTGCTGACATAATAAACATTACATTGTTTAGTTATTCTTTCTCTTATTTTTTTTAACATAATTTTCATAATTTTAAAGTTGTTGAATTTGTTCCCTATGGTATTGAAAATAGTATTGAATATTGATACTTTTCAAGGCATTGTATCCGAGTCCACAAATACGACACAAGTTCCACAAAATCTTGTCAGTTGAAATTAGAACAAGAATCATTTGATGAATTCTTCATAAATGATTCTATTTAAGGATTACATCACAGCCTTAATATTGATATTAAAAATATGATGAAATTAAGTGTGATCATTAATTCATATATATATATGAAAGTAGAAGTATGGGTCAGAATAAGTACATTTTATTTTCAAATCTGTTAAGCTAATTGATGATATAAGATTATTTTACCCATATTCTGCTATTTAATATAAAATGTTACATTTCATTTAAACACTTTTGGGCTTTTCATTTGATACAGACACAAAAATATATATTTTTTTGTGTGAACCTAAACATTTAATAGTAAATGACAGTTTTGACAAAACAGGGAAATTGCTTCAAATAGTGCTTTTTTAAATTATATGTACCTTGTTTCAGAACTTTAGTATATTTTTTAATACATTATTTAATCCTAAATCTATAATGCAAACAGGTGATTTTATAGGAGTTGGCAATGCATTTTTGTTAATAATAAAAAAATACTCTGGAAATACGTATGAGCTGCATGCCCAAAAAGAAAAATCTAATGCTACACAGAGCATATACTATTACTACTTGCATAATTAGAAATTATCTTGGCATTTTAGGTTTCGCCAAACCATACAGTTTAAAAAATACTGGGTTATTGTAACCCAATTTTAGGTTCAGTATGGACAAACCCAATTTTTGGGTTAGAAAGTACCATGTTAATTGTAAGGAGGCCCTATACAATATGAAAAATACGTTTCTGACATTCCCAGAGTGTGTATGTGAAATGTCAACACAAAATACCACACAAATAAG